GGGCCAGATTGGACTGACTGTTCTGATTGGTACAAGCAAAAATTAGAGTGGATGAGGGTTGGTTGGGCTTTGCCACATCATCAGATGGCAGACACTGGCACTGGGGGCAAATTCTGTCAAGTTAAATGCCAGAACCACCTAGAGAGTCCATAATACCCACAATACCCATAATACCCAGACATTGCTCACACATGGCTCAGTAGGGGCAGAGGCCCAGCCTAGTCTCTTCTACCCAGGTTCTCTAGAGCTCCAAATGGTGCTGGTATCTAGCCCAGTTTGGTGTGTCCAGCCCTAGTCCACAATTATGCCTAGGAAGATTGCAACCATATCCAGACCAGAACAAAGCCCCAACTCGAGCCCCCGCATCCTCCCATGGGAATCCCAACCCAGCAAGGGTGTACTCTCACAGCTCCCCAACTGAGTCTATTCCCAGCCCTAGATTGTGAGCATGCCAGTGGGTGCTCTGACCCAGTTGGCTTAGCCCCTCACCTGTCTCAGCCTTTGCCTTTGATGCTGTGCCATAGTATCCCTGCCTCATGCAGAGGGTTGGGGTAAGAGCCTAAGCCAGAATGACATGTGCTCCATCCTGATTTCTTTCCTTTTTTGTGAGTTGAAGTTTGCTTGGCCCTGCCCGGTCTGTACCCTTCCAGTTGCAACTGAGCCCATCCCACATCCTATTTTAAGATGCACTCCTAGCTTAACCCATCACCACCCAGCTCGCGAGCTAACTTGCAGAATTTGTATTTCCACAGGGCTGGGCCCACAGTTCTCAAATAGAGTTTACCACCAGACCAAGTTCTTTCACATTCTGGTTAGTGTCTTGACTCCGCCAAATGTGACCAGTCCACTATTCCAACAATCAGTCAAGTAATGGCACCTATCCCTGCCAGAAGACTGCCATCCAAAGCTTTGGTGTGGGCTGGTGTGTGGCAGTCAGTGATACTCTATGCTAACATCCCATCTCAGGATTCCTACTTCGGCTAGTGAATCAATCTGCCCAAATAGATCTAGGGACACTACCCTGCAAACCGTCAGGACTCAGTCCCCATGCTTGCCTGCAAATTACATGACTCTGTTACTGGGAATCACCCAGAATTCATCTCTCACCTACACTAAAGCTGGCCTTACTCATGGGTGTCCCTAAGCAGCAATTTCATATCTTAAAAACCCCAGAGCTCATCACTGGGTAGCCAGCAGGCAGAGCTTGGCACCATTTGGTGCACTGACCACCCAAAGCCAAGGACTCAGTCACTGCCTTTCAGCACTGGCTTTGGCCTGAGCCCCCAGCCTTGGATCCAGCCCTGCAGGGGCACTACCCACAGCCACCACACTCAGTTTCTTTATTTTTAAAAAATATTGTTTGTATGAATAAGGCAGATTTACAGATGAAAGGAGAGACAGAGAAAGATCTTCCATCCACTGGTTTACTTCCCAGATGGCAGTAACTGCTGGAACTGAGCTGAACTGAGTCCAGGAGCCAGGAGTTACATTCAGGTCTCCCATGTAAGTGTCAGACCCAAGGCCTTAGACCACCCTGTTCTTTATTGCTAGAGCATAAGCAGAGATCTGGATGGACAATAGAGAATCCAGCATATAAATGCATGATACATGGGGTGCCAGTACTTGCAAATGGAGGATTAACCAATTGAACCATCACACTGGTCCCTCTGCAGTTTCTTATGATGATAAACATCTGCCCTGTGCATCAATAGTCCAACGCTTAGGTTGTCACCCTGCAGAAATGAGAACACTTGCTCACACAAAAACCTGCACATGAATATAGGAGCTTTATTCATAATTGCCAAGTACTGGAAACAACACTGCCAGTGGATGAACGGATGGTGTCAGGATTTTATATTTCTACAATGGAACACTATCCAATAAGGAAAAGGAGCAAGAAATTGGAGTGGGATCTTAAGGGCATTGTGCTGAGTAGCAAACACCCAGTATCTAAAGTTTGCCTACCACATCATTCGATTCATATGACATTATAAACAAAGCAAAACCAGGGACCAGAAGAGATGAGTAGTCACAGGATTTGGGATTTCACTGCAGCACAGAAAAATCTTTCAATAATGTTCAGCCCTAACAAAGCTATTCATCAGCTCTTGCTACACCGCAGTCCTAATGAGTAGAGGAAATGCTCCTTCAGCAGGTGGGAAACTGTGGCTAGTGAAGAACTCAAGGCAGACTCCATGGGTGAAGTCAGTGTGTAGTTAGCACCACCTGCTGACCGAAGGAAGAACAGCAGATTGCTGGATTCTTTTAACTCTCAAAAAATCAGAGCACATGTCTTCCTTTCTTCCTTCTTTCTTTTCACCTTCCCTAAATCCCCTTCCCACTGATTTTCTCTACATTACTGCAATAGTATAGTCCTTCAAAAAGGACTATACCTATTATACAATCATAAATCCATCACTTTGATATTTAAGTGTATCCTGACATTGTAGGTAAGGAAAATGGCAAAGTATTTCTGCAAAAGCAAAGGGTGATATTAGCAAGCATTAGGTGTAGGGATATCAAGGAACATGAACTTGGTGAGCATGCCCTAGAGGGTAGGAATAAGAATTTATTGCTTTTCTAAGACCAGAATAACTCTCTCGGAACTTGCCCTGACTTAAAAGCCCAGTTTTAGAATCATACGCACGAGGTAAGAATAATCTACCCAATATGTCTCTTTTTATCTTGACAACAAACGAACTTCCTTTAAAAGGGGGTGCCTGGCGTGATAGCGTAGCTGTTAAAGTCCTACGACTTGAATGCGCCAGGATCCCATATGGGTGCTGTTTCTAATCCCAGTGTCCCTGCTTCTCATCCAGCACCCTGCCTGTGGCCTGGGAAAGCAGCTGAGGATGGCCCAAAGCTTTGGGACCCTGCACCCATGTGTGGGGCCCAGAAGAGGCTCCTGGCTTTGGATTGGCTCAGCTCCGGCCGTTGCAGCCTCTTGGGGAGTGAATCATTGGATGGAAGATCTTCCTGTGTGTCTCTCCTCCTCTGTATAACCGCCTTTCCAATGAAAATAAATAAAGCTTTTAAAAGGGAAACATAAGAAACATTAGCGATTTATCAGGCTAATCCTGCACTTGTGTGAGCCCTGACATTCCATAGGGCCACCAGTTTGAGTCCCGGCTGCTCCACCTCTGATCCAGCTGCCTTCTAGTGGCCTGGGAAATCAGTGAAGGATGACCTGAGGCCTTAGGCCCCTGTGCCCAAGTGGGACACGTGGAAGAAGCTCCTGGCTCCCAGCTTAGGGCTTGCTCAATTTGGGTCATTTTAATCAATTGGAGAATGAACTAGAGCTTGGAAGGTCTCTCTGTGTTTCAAGTAAAATAAATTAAATGATTGATTAATGAATGCTTTGCTAGGACAGAGATGGGAGTAATGGAACATTTCCAACACTGAACAGCTTTGTCAGGAAAGTGGTTTTTTCTCTCTCTAAAAATTTGATATGGAGCCCAGCATGTTAGCCTAGTGGCTAAAATCCTTGCCTTGCATGGGCCACGATCCCATATGGGTGCCAATTCGTACCCCAGCTGCTCCATTTATCTTCCAGCTCCCTGCTTATGCCCTGGGAGATCAATCAGGGGCAGCCTAAAGCCTTGGGACACAGCACCCACATGGGTGACCCAGAAGAATCTCGCGGATCTTGGCTTCAGATCAGCCCAATTCTGGCCTTTGTGTCCACTTGGGGAGTGAACCAGCAGCCCTCTGCCTTTCCAATAAAAATGTATAAATCCCAAAAAATGCTCTGATTAATAAATCCATTTTAGCAAACTACACTGTAAACATGCTTTAAAGGTTAATGCTTTCTTTAAAATTATCAACTATTTGAGCAGTTTTTGTATTTTCCCCATTTATCTTGTTTAAATTGATATCATTGTCATCATATCAATTTTTTTTAATGTACCAAGAAAAACAAAGAAGTGAGGTCCAGCTCCCAGAAGAGCTCAAAGAGGTTTGGGGGATCTTTTAAACAAAGTTGTACAGTCTCTGGCAGGTTCCAGAGGCATGTGGCTATCTTGGTCCTACCCACAGCAATGTAGTCACATATCTCAGCCAATTATGCCCCAGCAACACATTTCAGAAGAAGCTGGTCTGGACAAAATGCCATGGACTATTTGGCCTCCATCTGGCAGTGCACACTGGACACACCATCTTCGGGCATCTGCTTGTTCCCCAGCTTCCCCCTCTGGAGACTGCATCTCGACGGCCCTATATCTCAGGACCCCACATGCATTCCCAGTGCAGGAACCTCAGGCTCAAACACATGCCCAAGGGTCCATCCCTATATCGAGCAGGACTTGCACTGCATTAGTAAGGAAGAAGACCCTAGCTGGTCAAGCTGATTCTCCTCTCTTGGAGGACTGGGATCTCCCAGGCTCTGGGAATGGGAGCCAGGGGCTGAGCCAGAGGCCAAGGGGTCTGGTTAGATAAATAGTCTTGTGTCCTTTTGCATGTGAGTAGGGGATGTATGCTGGTGTGGAGCTGAAGTAGGTTTCTTGATTGACTTCTGACATGTCTGACGGTCTTTAAAAACTGAGGTGATGATCCCATCACATGCAGATTTCCCAGTAGAGCAAGGAGACATCTATTCTGTACCTACATCTACACCCAGTGGTCCATGGAGGGATATGGCCCTGGAGACACTTGCTCCTCGCGCAGGAATTGGCTCCTTCCTCTAGCAGATGGTGTGACGAAGAGTGTTGTCTTCTTCACTGGAGCACCTGGTGAACTAACAACACAAAGTGGCGTTGTTCCTTTTATCGAGGTCACCTGACCAATCACCCCTGAGGCTCTGGGCCTGCTGTTATTCATCTGGAACTGGTGTTGTGTCTAATGACTGTTCCACTGCTGAGCATAAATAAAATAACCGACCTGAGTGGATGTGTGACTTTTCTCTTGCTGCCAGGCCCCATTCTGTCTCTCACCTGCTGGTGGCTACTGCTGGCATTCCCAGGTGGAAGATGCAGAGTAGCCACATCTTGGCTTCTCTCTCTGCCCTATGTCAGTCTGGGCAGTGGCTTTAGCCCTGTCACAGGCTCTTGGCTCCTTCCTAGAGCTTGCAGCCCTGTTGTGTGGAGGCTCTGCAGGAAGTCCTGAGAGAACCAGGAGGCATTAGTGCTGGCACATGGCACCTCTGGCTTGGGCAAATTCTGGGGTGGGGCTGACCTGGATCCCCTGGAACTACTGGCTGACAGTCCTATAGAAGGCCAGTGTGTCACTCCTGTGCCTGCTCAGCTGGATCACCATGTGTAGGCTCTGGTCCTCGAGCTTGTCATAGAGTGTGCGGATGCTAAAGTCCTCTAGGGTCTGGACCAGGGCTGGGGCCCCTGAAGGAAGAGGCCTTGGAGTGAGCAGCAGGTGCAAGCAGGGCCTTGTGTGAGCGGCTCAGCCCCTTCATCCCATCAGCAACCGGCCATTCTCAGACAGGGAGGGAGGCCTGCCTGCAGGAAGTTGCAGGCCATGGGGAAGTGGGTGCAGGTGGACCAGGTGAGGTAGGAGAGCCTCAGAGGCAGATGTAGGCAGGGACCACCTCCCCTGAGTAGCTGTGATTGACAAGGGCTTTCCTGGAATGGGAGCTGGGTGGAGTTCTGCCTTTCCTGAGGGTGGGCCTTCTGCATCACAAACACCTTCCGGAGGAAGCTGGTGGCTGGAACTGCCTCGACTTTCCCTGAGAATTTACTCCGACCCTGCCTGCTCTGTCTGGCAGTCTCTGGTTCCCACAGCTGCCCTGCATTCTCCTGTCCTTGCCTTGTCTGTTATCATAGTGTGGTGAACTCGCTTCCAGCATCCCCAAGCCAATGTGTCCATGGTGCCAACAGCTGTGCTTGACATGTAATTGCTTGGCTGAGGGCTTCTGGCTTCAGGGAAGTAGGCACCCAGGGTCTCGACCCAGGCAGGCAGTGCCCAAGCGGCTCTTGTGTCCTGAAGGGCCTCCCCATGGCACTTAATTTCTTCCCTCCTGAAGGTTTCTCACTGCACTGGGAAATGCTAAAGGTAAAGTTGTCTCCTGAGTTCCATATCCAGCGAAAGCGTCTTTTAATGGTAAGGGAGACATTGGGAAACTTCCAGATAAGCAAAAACTGACATATTTGTTACTACTTTCCTGCAACAAATGCTCATGGGAACCCTGAAATTAAAGGACTTTAGTCAGGAACTCAACTAAAGGTGAGTATGTTGATAGTGGTATAAGATAATGTTACTGCATCAGAGGTTTGTAACTCCATATTTGCTATTCTGCATGATTTAAACATAAATACATTTGAAAATCATCTCAAAACTACCAGTTTTAAGTTTGATACACTAATTCCACATTTCGGTTTCCATGTAAGTGAAGAGGTATTTAAAATAATGTTAGCCCATCTTTCAGGGTACGTAGGTTGTGCAAAGATGGGATTCTAGCATTCTAAATTCTGTGATGCTGACACTGACAAGGGCATGGAAACAGGTGTAAGGAAACATGTTCTTGGGTGTTCTTCACACTGAGCTGTTACCAACACAGATCAGAGAGTGTCAACTTCCATTTGCTGAAGGTAATTCCACACAAACAGAAATGAAAACAGCTACAGCACATGTACAACAGGAAATGAGACAGATGAAAATATTCATGACCAAAAAATCTACCAAACACAAAAAGGCAGAGATGCAAGAATTAAAGAACTACACAGCATATAGAAAAGAAGTAACAAAATGACAAAAGTGAGTTCCTTCTTACCAGTGATTACTTAAACTCTAGATGAATTAAACATTCCAATTAAAACAAAAACAAAAAAAGATTGTAAGAATGGGTAAAAACCCATGCCCCATGTCTCTTCAGCCCATCTTTAGATCCAAAGACAAAAGACAGCAGAAAGATGAGAAAAGGCATCCCATGCCAGTTTCCCTGCAGTGAGAGCTGGAGTGGATCTGCCCTGGCGTCCACAGACTTAATCAAAGCTTGTACATTGCACATTAATAAACATCCCACATAGAAAACAGACACGGAACAAATAAAGCATTTGTGAGCTAGATGATGAAGCATCAAGATATGCGATGCAAAAACCTGACAGCTCTAAAATTGTCCAAGACTCTCTGAACTGATACAATAACCAGGCAGGAGATAAGTGAGGAGACAGCAGAGTTAACACAAAAGCCTGTAGCAGACACAGGACACCTTAACAACAACACACACGCATTTTCCCAAAGTTCCCATGGGACGCTTCTTAGGAGAGACTGCACATTAGATCACACATTGTCTTGATAGATTAAAAAAGACAGATATCATTCTATCATTGCAGGATAAAATTATAAATCATTATCAGAAGAAAAACTAGAAAATCCAAATGTCGTGGCAGTTAAGAGTATACTCCCAAACAAAGAAGAAAGTGCAAGACATACCTAATGTGCAAAGTTGGTTATATGCACTCCAGGAAACTTATACCACTCATTGTCTATTAGAATTGATCTTTCCTTGCCCTCATTTCTTCATTAGCAATGTTTATTGCACTAGGAGATCCAACATTTTCCTCCCCTTTGATAATCACTGACCAATGCATTTCATAGTTAAGTACAACAGTCACAACTCCAGACCTATACCAGGTGTTAGCTAGGTTAGTTCAGTTCTAGGTTAAGCCCAGGGAAAGCTGTCTGTGTCCAAAGTCTGGGATCCCTCCCGCAGTGTCTACCAATCTCACCCACATGACCTCTTTATGACTAAATTGCCAGATTCCTCCCTGAATGTTGGAGGCTGAAACTCTGTTCCAGCCACAGCAGAGGGGAGGCGGGGGAGCGCTGGTCCTCAAGCCAGACTCAGGAAACCAAATGCAACAAGCAGGATGCTTCTAGCCCAAGGTTGCACACTCTGAGGCACCACAGTAGAGGAGCTACTTACAACTCCCGGCACCTGCTCATTAGGCAGCTCCCTGACCTCTAAGCTGGCTCCGCTGCCCTCGAAGGAATCTGACCATGACACAAAGCTGTTTTCTTGCAGGTATTTCTCAAGAGACCATGATGGACTCAAGTGAATCATCTTTATGTTTCTCCTGCTTTGGGGCAATCACAAATAGCTGTCATTATTTCCTCACCTTAAAAAGTTTTGTTTAGAGAGACAAGCCATTTCCCCTAAGACAACTATCATTTTGTTTCTCTAGTATGTGGTAGTTAATGTGGAATACAAAAATAATGTAAAAATGAGGTGTGCACATTAAAATTTCATTGTTGCTTTACTTCTTGGAAGCTAATTTTTCTAATTTTTTACCTGTTGAATGTAATGTTAGTTGTTCGCTAAGTGTGAGTAATATGTTGTGGCTAATATTTTTAACACAGAGTATAAGAATTTATCATATATTTCAAATTAGAGTGATAATAAATACTCATGTGGATAGTATATTTTTCATAGATTTTTAATTTTTATGTCAAATTCAGATATACAGATAGGAGGACAGGCAGAGAGGAAGATCTTCTGTGCAATGATTACTCCGCAAGTGACTACAGTGTTTGAATCTGAGCCAATCCAGAAGCCAGGAGCCAGGAGCTTCTTCCAGATCTCCTACATGGGTGAATGGTCCCAAGGCTTTGCGTCATCCTCAACCACTATCCCGGGCCACTACCAGAGAATTAGATGCAAGCAGTGCAACCCGGTTCAGAACTGGCACCCATATGGTATCTGGAACATGCAAGGCGAAGATTTGAGCCACTAGACTACTGCACCAGACCCATTACTTCTATAAGATAATATTGAAGGAGATGCAAATTCAGTTACCATAATTTGATTATTACACAATGCTTACACATATCACATCTCATATTATATACCATAAATAAACAAAAATTATTTCCTTAAGCCTTTTAAAAATAATGCATTGAAAAGATCTGTTGCTGGTGACATGCATTGCAATGGAATGGTGAGCACTTCCCTGCTACGGTGTACTTATTACTGTGCCACAGCATACATCAGTTCCCATGGGATTGGACACCACTGTGTCCATGCTAGAATCAGGTTAGGGATCATCTCAAATGAAGTTTTTTTTGAGAATCCATCAAACTGAACTGCTGATCTCAGAACCCCATCCATGAAGAACTATGTCAGCCAGTGGCTTCTGAATCAGTTTTATCATGATTGAAATGGCAAGATTGGCAGCAATTCAGACTTCTTGAACTATCAAAACTGCTTGAGCAGGACCCTTGGAATGTGCCTCAAATCAAGGACCTGGGATGTGTGGGAGGCTGGGTGAGTCTTTTCTCTTTGTTTTTCCCCTTACTCCAGATACAGGGAAAAAATTATATTAGTGTGGAAACAAAGGTATTACCTACTTTCATGGAGCCCTTGACCCCTTGTACCCAAATCAGCTAAGTTAGATTATTAAAAATAAATAAAAAAATATTTTAAACCTTTTAACCTGGATATAATTTGAACAGGTTTAATGTATTTCCTAAGTAGAATTCTAAGATATTAGTCATATTACAATGGCAGTCGTCACTTCCTTTAGTTTTTCTACAATTTTATTTACATTTTTAATTGATCTACCAGAAAACACACAGTGCATTGTGATTGGTCATTCTTCTGCAGTGTACTCAGAGGCATTAAGCATTAAAAGAAGGACAGAGAACAGCTCAGTAAGCTCTGCTTCCTCCTTTGATAAATGCATCACATTTTCTGACCCCAGGCCTGAAGTATAATGTCACTGACACTGCTCAGAACCCACACTGTGGGTTCCACTATCATTTATGGAACAGCAGTCTTTTCAGAGCCCTCTTCATGTCTGTGTTCCTCAGGCTGTAGATGAAGGGGTTCAGCATGGGGGTGACCACGGTGTACATCACTGAGGCTGCTGCAATTGAGGCTGAACTTGGGGCAGCACTGGCACTGAGGTACACACCTATTATTGTGCCATAAAATAGGGAGATGGTCAAGAGATGAGAGGCACAGGTGGAAAAGGCTTTATACTTGCCCTGAGTTGACGAGATGGCACGGATGGAGGAGGCGATCTTAGAGTAAGAGTACAGGATCCCAGCCAGAGGACCACCTCCTAAAAGCACAGCTGCAAAGTACATTATGAGGTCATTGAGAAAGGTGTCAGAACAGGCTCTGTGGACCACCTGATTTAACTCACAGAAAAAGTGAGGGATTTCCGGGTGGCTGCAGAAGCTCAGTCTCAGCACCAGTAAGCTGTTTAACAAGCCATACAGGACAGTGATGGCCCAACACAATAAAACGAGCTGCACACAGAGCTGGGGATTCATGATGACCGTGTAGTGCAGGGGGTGACAGATGGCCACAAACCGGTCATAAGCCATCACACCCAGAAGAAAGTCATCTAATGCTGAAAAGATTATGAAGAAGAACATCTGTGTGAGGCAGCCTGCATAGCTTATGACTTGGCTCTGAGTCTGAATGTTCACCAGCATCTTGGGGATGGTGGTGGTGGTGAAGCAGATGTCAGAGAAAGACAGGTTGGCGAGGAAGAAGTACATGGGCGTGTGAAGGTGTGGGTCAGAGAGGATGGCCAGAATGATGAGCAGGTTCCCAATGACACAGATCACATACATGGAGAGGAACAGCCCGAATGTAATCGGCTGCAGTGCTGGGTCTTCTGAGAATCCTAGGAGAAGAAATTCTGAAAGCTGAGTTTGGTTGTTCAGTTTCATGTGGTGTAGATCACTGTCAGGAAGAAGTAGCTGAACCTGAATCATATTCATAAAAAATAGAGGTAAACAACACAGCAGAAATCCCAAATCTATGTTTTCCCTTTCAGAATTTGTATTTAGAGATGGCTTCGTGCTACATTTGTTCCTTCCCAGGGGATCACTGAACAATAATACCTTTATACCCTCAATGTTTCCCTACACCATCAAATTCTTCTCACATATAATGACGTATTCTTTGACCACTTGTGTAATAAGTATTCATCAGAGGTTAAAAACTCACCATTGATTTTCTAATTGAGTGTTTGAAGAATAGGTCATGGAAGAGGCCTATATAATGTGTTATTCCATGTATCTTAAAAGATAAAGATATTCAACTCTGAATGAAAATATGGTGATCTTCACACACATGGTGCAAATGAAGGCAGAAGTGCTATGATTTTGAGGAGATGACTCAATCATATTAAGCAAAGAAGAATGACATAGGATGTCAAGTGATAAGGAGGACTCAACATGAAGTTAATTGGAAATATATATGTAGCTGACTTCCTAAGGCTCTGTTTGCAGACTGAAATTTTTGTAGATTTAATATATGTAGGTGTGGAACCCAGGATGCGTTAGAGATTTGACAACAAAAAGTATAAGCTTTCACACATCCTCTTACATTCTACTAAGTGTCCATCGAAAGAACTTACAAATGCGGCTAAAAGCTTCAATTACTTTTGTGCATACATTTTGCAAAGTAGAATTGTTCAAATGTTGATGACCTCTGATAAGTTTGGATTAGGATATATTTTTGGAACAGCCATGTTGGAGCATGCCTATCTACATTTTAAATATAGTTTTCACTGTACTGAAACAAACTCAATTATGCATCAAAGGACTCCATGGCAGAAGAAAGCTACCAATAATGGCCAATCTTTGCAGGTATGAAGACAATAATAGGAAATCGCAGAAGAAAATGAGAGTGACAAAAAAGCCTTGAATGTATCCAACTCACAAATGAGGCAATAACTCTCAAGCAGGAGTCTTTGATAGAGCTATTCATACTGTTCGGTTAAGATAACATTAAGTTATATGAGAGAAACTGAAGAGCCTGAGACCGATGTGTTCCAGCAGCTGCTACTATCAGGATTTCCTGGTTCTTTCCTGTCATACCGGACAGTCAGAGCAACTCTACACTGCCTAAATGTGCAGGGTGGTGACTCAGTCTGCAGAGGCTGTTCCTGGGCTAACGGGTGTGATTTTGTCTTTTCTAGTTACATGTGTTGGACAACCAGGCCCCTTAACACTGACAAATTAATGCTACCTCACTCCAGCACCTATCTATCAAACACAGAAAATCTCCTTTCTTCTTCCTCCAGATACCCCAAAGTTCTGCAAAGTTGGCTATATATGTTAGAGGAAACTTATACCACTCATTGTCTATTAGAATTGATCTTCTCTTGTCCTCATTTCTTATTAGCAATGATTATTGCCCTAGGATATCCAACATTTCCCTCCCCTTTGATAATCACTGACCAATGCATTCAATATTTAGGTAGAGCATTCACATCCCAGACCTATACCAGGGTTTGGTAAGTTTAGTTCAGTTCTTGGTTAAGCCCAGGGAGAGCAGTCGTGTCCACAGTCTTGCATCCTTCTCACAGTTTCTGCCAGGCTCACCTGCATGGCACCTCTACGACTAAAGTGTCTCTGCAGGGATGTCCAAATTCCTGCCTGGATGGTGGATGCTGCAGACTGAAGCTCTGTCCAGGCACAGCAGAAGGAAGGAGAGAAGCTCTGGTCCATGAGCTAGACTCAGGACCCCAAAAGCAACAAGCAGGCTGCTTCTAGCTTAAGGTTTCACAGTCTGAGGGACCACAGCAGAAGAGTTACTTACAGCTCCCGGCACCTGCTCATTAGGCAGCTCCCTGACCTCTAAGCACCTGCTGGCCCCGAGGCACTGTGGGCAACACACAAAGTTGTTTTCTTGCGGGTGTTTCCCAAGAGACCATGCTGGACTCAGGTGAATCCTTTTTGTCTTTCCCCTGCTCTGTGGCATTGGCAAATAGCTGCCATTTAGTTCCTCACTTTAAAATGTTTTGTTTAGTGAGTCAAGGCTTTTCCCCAAAGACAATTATGTGTTTCTCCTATTATGTGGTAGTTAATATTGAACACAAAAATTATGTGGAAATAGAAATGGCATCTTGAGATTTGATTGTTGTTTCTACTCCTGGGAAACTGGTTTCTCTAATTTATGATTTGTTGAACGTAATGGTTAGTGGTGCACTAAGCCTGGGAGTAATATATTTTAGTTAATATTTTTAAACTCAGCTTACAATAATTTATATATTTATATATTATATATATTTTATATAAATATATATTTTATATTCCAAAATAATTAGAGCTATAAATTGTTTAATACTTAAATAGGATAATATATATTTCAAAGATTATTAATTTTATTTGCAAATACAGATATACAGTGAAGAGGTGAGGCAGAGAGAAACATCTTCTGTTCGATGATTTATTCCTCAAGTGACTGCAATCATGGGAGGTGAACCAATCCAAAGCCAACAGCCAGGAGCTTCTTCCGGATCTGCCACATGGGTACATGATCCAAAAATTTGGGCCAATCTCAACTGCTTTCCCAGGGAAAGAAAGCTGGGAGCTAGATGCAAGCATGCTGCAGAGATTAAAACTGGTGCCCATATAGGATCCTGATGTCTGCAAGCCAGAACTTTAGCCACTAGGTCTCTGTGCTGTGCCCGTTACTTTTGCAGGATAGTACTGAAGGAGATGCCAAAGCAATTACCATGCCTTGATTATTACTCCTGGCTTACACATATCATTTCTCATGTAATATACCCTAAAAAATGAAAATGTTTTCCAACAAATCTCTAAAATAATTTATTGAAAAAGAGAAAACATATTTGAAACAATAAAGTAAAATCATACTGTTTAATTTGGCCATCTAGACTAGGCTGTAGTACCTGTTGGCACACACAAGAACTGGAGCTAAGAGTTGGCATGGTCGAGTAAATTTGGAGACTGCCTTGTTGTCAACTCCCTCCACTGGTGAGTGAGAGAGCTGGGATTGTGGGTGGGACAGTCAGGGAGCGAGGCTGGCTAGGCTGGCTGTCACATTGATTGGCAAACATAGTATTGCCCAATCTGGTCCTCACATAACCCTGCTTCTCAGATTCACTATTGAGAGCTACAACCCACCAGGGTTGTGTGAAGATGTATCCTACTAGGCGTGTTCTGAGCCACAGGACTCGTGTGCTTTGGCAGGAGTTCAATACAACCCTGCATGGCACACCCACAGTCTCAGCTGTTGCAAATGGATATTGTAGCCCTGCCCAGCTGGGCACATCGTGTTCAGGCTCTCCTGTGTGCCCTCATGTGCTCAGGCTTGTCCCACACAAAAGTTGATATATGCTGCAGACTTGCCTGGGCTGACCTACCTCCAGTTGCAGCAGTTGAGCTCCCCATGGAGAACTGTAGAATTGCAGGCGTGCCCCAAGTACTGTGACCAGACCTGTTCAAAGCCCTGGTTCTCACACATGCCAGCAGGGCAGCGACCCTGCTTGGCATTCTCCGTCCTCAGCCCAGGACCATGCATGTGCTGGCCCCACGTGTTCTTTTTTACAATCCCTGCTCCCAAGACTGTCAGGTGGTTTCATTTTTATTCATTTGTATATTTATTTATTCATTTACTTTTTCTTTTGAAAAGTCAGATATACAGAGATGAGCAGAGACAGAGAAGACCTTCTGTCCTTTCAGCAGCTGCACAAATACTAAGCCAGGATTCAGGTTCCAGGAGCTTTCACTGGTTCTGAGATGCAGGGGCAGTGTCCCAAGGCCTTGGGCCATCCTTGACAGTTCACCCCCTAGGGACACAAGCAGGGAACTAGACTGGAAGTGGGGCAGACGGGATTAGGACTTAAGCGTATATGTGATCCTGCTGTGTGCGAGGTGAGTACTTTAGCCTCTAGGCTATGGACCAGGACCTTAGTTGGAGTATTGTCAGTTGAGTTTTCTTGTCCACCCTGCCTTGGCCTATCACCATCCCCAGATCTCCATGTAAACCAGCTTGGGTTGTAGTCCCACAGAAGCAAGCACACATCTCTCCTAGACAATTTACCCCCAACTTAAGTTCTTTTGCGTTGTGGTGGGTGCTGTGGCCCAATCTCACATGGCCTATTCCTGCTATTTCACTCACAATTACATGTACCCCATGATCCCTGTCTAATTCCTTCCCGCTTACCTGATTTCCTGCTGATGCAGTGACCCGGTCGTGAAAAATCCAAGCAGCCATTTCTCCCCTGTCTAACATGCCCTCATCTACTCCTACTCCAATATGTACCCAGGCCTCATTCTGCAGTTCTCTGCCTGGACCCATGGTGGCATGTCCCAGCCTTGAGTTCCTCAGCTTCTCCATTTATTGTTTCAGAAAGGAAGAAATAAATAATAAACCCAGGGCCCAGCACAGTGGCCTAGCAGCTAAAATCCTCGCCTTGAACATGCCCGGGATCCCATATGGGCGCCGGTTCTAATCGTGGCAGCTCTACTTCCCATCCAGCTCCCTGCTTGTGGCCTGGGAAAGCAGTTGAGGATGGCCCAAGGCTTTGGGACACTGCACCCGTGTGGGAGACCCAGAAGAAGTTCCTGGATCCTGGCTTTGAATCGGCATAGCATCGGCCATTGTGGTCACTTGGGGAGTGAATCATCGGATGGAAGATCTTCCTCTCTGTCTCTCCTTATCTCTATATATCTGACTTTCCAATAAATAAATAAATCTTTAAAAAATAAAAAATAGGTGGCATAGTCGGATAGTTAACACAGATTTGGCATTAACCAGGCCCAGAATGCCCATCAGCTACTAGTTCCTTTTCTCCCAGCAATACAATAGTTGCCTAGGGACCAGGCAGCTTAGGCAATTGTGTTCCATTTCTGATCCATTGTCCTTGCAATGTGCCTCAGAATGTGGTGGAAGATGGCTTGAACCTTTGGAC